TAGATATATTGATATTTATATATATATATATATATATATATATATGTGTGTGTGTGTGTGTGTGTGTGTGTGTGTGTGTGTATGTATGTATATGTATATTTGCTGAGAATAAAGACAAAAATAAAGGAAAAGAAAATGAATTACATCCTAAAGAGCCAAGTTCATATAGCAAATTGGTTTTATTTATATTCGGTAGAGTTTAATATTTTAGTTGGGAGTTTTAAGTGAGAAAAAAAAATAGTTTATTTATCAAATAAAAGATGAAAATTTGATGATTTTAAGCGTATAGAAATTAAGAAAGTGATAAAGAGATTTTATTATAAAAATTAAAAACATTGAATTACTTATAGTTACCTACAAAAATATCACTCAAAAAAATTATCAAGACCAAAATCATACATTAACTATAATTGGACTAAACATAAAAGAAAATATTCAAACACAAACCATCATATAATAAATTTATTATTGGTCTTAAAATAATCACCGTAGTAATCATGAAATATGATTTCTTATGTCTATTAAATTCAAAATATAGTTAAACTGTATCATTTTTCTTTACAAATACCTTTAAAAAAAAGTTTCATAAAAAATACTTAGATATAAAACAATTTAATTTAAACTAATGAAAAAAAAGACACTAAATGTCTTCATAAAAAAAGAGAGAAAATAATAAATCTATCTTAATAATTTGTATAATTATTAAAAGGTATATATAGTTATTAAAGGTAAAATAAAAAAAAGATAAAGGTAGACACCAAATAAAAGAATTCCTTTTATTATTAATTAGTAGGAAAAAAGGTCCGGTGTCTCTATATATTTATTTTTAAAGAAATTTTAGAAAAAGATGATTATTAAATTTATGGATAATAATGTCTAATATAAAAATAAAAATTAAAAAATAATTTATCCACTTTATAATAGATATAAATATAAATATATAATTAATTGGATTTTTTTTTATAAAACCCAAATCTAAGATGTTATTTAGTACTTTTTATAAGATTCAATATAATATTTTTTGTATTAAGTAATTTTTTTATGAGAAATACTCTTAATTAATGCATATCTCTTTACACTTCACTCGATAAATAATTAATAGAATAAAAATTTTATTAATATTAGAGATAATTTATAATATTTTTTTATAAATTTATAATAAATTTAATGTTGTTAATTAACTAACGTACTTAATGTTAATAAATTAGACAATTATGTCTTTGGCGTAGTTAGAAGCATGAAGATCAATGTTTCAATCCTTATTACGACCATCTTTATGATCATCTTTGTAATCTTTCTCATTTTTATCAAAAAAATAAAAAAAAAATATCAAGCCCTCCGACCTCCAAAATACATATAAAATATAATTAGGATGAAAAGGTTGTTGACTGATTGTCTCTAAAATAAATATTTTTTAATTTTCATTAATTATGATGTAATTAACATGTAACGCACAAATTTCCTGAGTTAAAAAAGTGTCAACACAATAAACACAACATCAACAACAACAAAAAATCAAACTAAAAAATGGAAAAATTAAATTAACCCTTTAATGACAACCAATCCTTTTCCCATAAAGTGGAGTAACCTATACAAACTACACATCACAATATTTTATTGTAAAACATGGCCATAGAAAAACTATTCTAATAAATTTAATTATAATTTTGGTCTCACTTTATATCCGACGATATAATTACCTTAAAATGCATATTTATTTTGAAATATCAAAATAAATTCGAAGAAAATTTTAAAAAAAATGTGCTGTTTTTTGTGAAATAAAAATATGAAGATAAACCACTTTTAAATAATAAAAAAATCTAATTTAATTAATACTTCAAAATTGGATAATAAAAGTGTAGACCATGAAATTTCACTAAGGACCATTGAACCCTATCAATTAGGGGAACAAGTCTACCCTTGATTTTAAATCCCGGAAAAGAATGTATGAATAAATGCTTTACAAAACGTTTGTACGTATAGGACCTAACTATTTCAATTGGCATGTACACTACTAATATAATATGAAGGTAATGTTACAAATTTACAGAATTTCAGGCAAAGCCACCTATTTGTCCATACAATGCAATGAACATCATTGGCCAGGCGAGAAGAAAATGCCTCAAGCTCCTGTATAAGTGGATAATCACCCACCATGCTATATTTTGGTTCTTTTCTTGTCCACATTGGATATGGAACAACTGCATTGACACAAGTTAATGGTTAGATAAAATTAAAAAACTGTTAAGAGAATGCATAAACTGTTGTATCCCTTGCTTTCTACATCACCCAATCTATTGCAGACTCTGTTATAATCATAAACAACACTTAACAAAATCTCAAATTCAGCCTCAATGTTTAACAACAGACCAAATTTTTGTTTTCTTCTGTTGTAACAAAAAATAAGAAAACAATTAGACAAGTGCCAACAGTTCATGAACATTTTTACATAAGGTTTAATTTCCCTTTTAATCCCTATAATTTTATAAACTATACCTTTTAGTCTCTGGTTAAAAATGTTTCATTTTAATTCCTACACGTCATTTTTGTTTCCTTTTAGTCTTTATTGTCTATTATTTAAGAGAGAAAAAAGTAAAAATTATGAAATTATAGAGACTAAAGAAATAAAAAGGGCATGTCCAAGGACTGAAATGGAATGTTTATAATTATAGAGACTAAAAGATAAAGTTTATGAAACTATAGGAACCAAAGGGTAATTCTACCAAATGATGAACTACAAGCAATACATGGAATACTTGCCTACATATCAAAGCAGAGGATCATAAGAAAAAGGGCATTTTTACATGGTAAGAGACAGGTCAGCTAGAAAATATGCTCCTAAACAACAAACAATAAATACCAGGGATACTTACATAAATATCAAAACTGAGGATCATAAGAAAAAAGGCTTTTTTGTTCATCTGTTGGATTCAACATCCATCTACAGAACATCCATGCTGCACCAAGTACTGATAGAAGAGACAACAGTGCCAAGCATCCAAAATGAGAAGGATCATTTGCAATTATTGCAACACCCAGCATTATAGACTCCGCCAAACTAGCAACAGCAATCTCCGTCGTCCCAATGAGATTTGCTTTGGAGGATGGGATTCCAGTCTGGAGAATCTGTGCCCCTACGACATCGTATGACATGTGTCCTAACCGTGACAAAATCTGCACACACAAGCACAGCAGTTTATGTGCAAATATTCAATGGGACAAGTGACAAAAGTTAGTTTCAGATCAAAAATCCAAAGTCTGAAAGTTTCCAACAAATGGATAAATATTACAATTCGGTAACAAATATTCAATGAGCTATTGACTCTTTTTTCAGAACTGATATCCTGTCCTTTTGGTAAAATAATGAAGGTCCTGAACACTTCCTCTCAACACAAGCTAAGTCTTGTTTGCTAACAAATGGACATTGCATTGAAAATAAGAATTTAAAATATAGGAACCTGTTGAGAAATTAGCTTATCCCTTTTTATAAGACTCTTTTCAAATTATATCTTGCATTAATTATTATTTACCAAAATATCTTTAATTACTTTACATTTTTTTTAGTCAATAGACAATGAATCTTGTAAGTTGTAACTTAATAAGATAAATTCTCTGTCTAGTGAGAATTGGGGAAGATAACTAGCTACAAATTAGTAAGATAAACTCCATAACCACTATTATCTCTCCATACATTAATTAATTAGGTGGAAAGAGAGTGATGATGAGTCCCAATACTCTTAAGGTTAATTTTGAAAAAAATAGGTGGAAAGAGTGTGATGATGAGTCCCAATAATCTTAAGGTTAATTTTGAAAAAAATAAAACAAAGTTTTAACAAATTTAAAGTCACAAACTAAATTAACCAACTTCTTTAATTCCTATGAATTACCAAAAAGGATCTTATATGTAGGGATGGAAGTAGTATAATCAATCTCTAAAAGGATCCCTAGAACCGTACATCTTGAACATTCCATGTCATAATTTAGCTCACTAATTCAGTGTAAGCTGAACTTGGATCCCTGTCAGATTTACCCCACTTCACATGATTCAGGCCATTCTAATTTATAAGCTTCAACATTAATGTGATCAGTGATGATACTTTAGTGACTTACAATCAGAAATAAGAAAGTAAGAAGAGGGCTCTGATGAGAAATTGATCCGCTCAGATAAACAGCAACAGCCACGCAGAGAAGTAAAGCTTGAAATACCAACCCAACTGCCCCAGCCTGATAAAGAGAGAAAAATTCTCAATAACTTAATAAAAAATAAGTGCTCAAACTTTCCCACTTGCAAAATAAAAATAATAATAATAAACTTTAAAAGAGAGACAATAAACCTTTAAAATGCCAAATTGCTTGACCAGAGTAGAAGACACAAATGTTGCTGCAACACCCATAAAAGCACACATTCCACTGAATCCTCCAATGATTGAAGGATGTAAGCCTGCAGAAAAATGTAAAAAAAATAAAATCTTGACCTAGCACAAATACCAAAGGAATTAATCACCCACCCCCTAAAAAGCAAGGAAAAGGAAAGATAAAAAAAAATTACAGAATGACAATGATTGTTGGTCTAAATATGGAATAAAATGATTAATGGGCAAAACAGTTGTAGAGACTACAACAATGAACCTCACATCAAACGAATAAATTATGAAAGGTTTCTCAATTAAACAAAATAGAAAATCCTTGTCAATTCTGTGTTTATGATGGACAGGAACTTTTGAAAATCTTGAAAGCAGGTGTTTCACTATATTCTTTCTGCAACAAATTACGTGTTATAAGAAAATTCCAAACATAAAAAAGTCCTATGGAGGATATTTTCACATACCACGCTGTGTTAGAAATGCTGTCAACAAACTGCCCGGTGTGAGAACAACATTAAAGTAGAGGAGCACCCATGCTAGACTAGCAGGAAGAACAGGCTGACCCAAATACTCCTTCCAGCCAAGCTTGATGGCTTCCAGACCTTTAAACACTGGTTTGCCAGCAGATGAAAGTAAGTATATTTAAGATATCCAGACAAAGATAATCTTATAGAAAGAATAGTATACCTATATTGTTAGCATCTGTTGCAGAATCTTCACTAAATGCTCTGCAACAAGTTTGTGAAGGTTTCGGCCGGTCAAGAACACCGGTAGAAAGCTTGTTAGCTAAATAAGTAAAAACAATCTGCAAATTAAGAATGGAGAGTGAAAACAAATTCAACTTATAAATTATGGAAGTAATAGATCTGGAAGAAAGGCAGAGAAATTACTGTAACAGGCAGAAGCCCCATCATTAAGCCAGAAGCAAATTTTAAGCAGATTACAGGATGAAATTTAGAAAGAAGGAATCCAAACAGCAACGCCCCAGCTATCTGTAGACAAATTCATAAGTTTCCAAGAAAGCTAATGTAATTCATATTTCATCGGACAATATCTGAATATTCCACTCAATTGGAATGGTAGTGAGCTCTGAAAACAACAAAATGTAGAAGCTAGCTAATCAACTTATTGCAAATATAAAAAAAAAAAGAAACAAATAATTACCTCACACAAGAGATCAATTCGATTTAGAACAGCATTTGCCTGTGCAAGTGCAATTGGCCTATTCATTCCTGCCAGCTGCAGAAAGAAGCCACTCAGGATCAGAACAAAATTTAATTCTAACACAATTTTTCAAGTAACAAATCACATGTCAAAGGAACAGGAGAAACACTGAATGACAATACCAATACAACCCAGTCACGCTCATTTGCAACCCCCAAAGCTACACCACATAGCCTCTCAATTGCCCCAGCTGAAACCAGTAAGACAAACCATGGACGCAGAAGCAGATTAGACAATGAAGTAGGTCGCACAGAATGGGCATGAATAATCATTGTTGCAGATAGCAACTGAGCTGCTGCCTGAAAAATAAGAACAATCCCTTTTAGGAAAAGAGCTATATCTAGCTTGAATTTATATAGATTATCAAACAACTTGCCTGAACGATGGTTAAGCAATTATATGCAGACATTCTTGGAAAATGGTCCATAACTTTGCCAACCAAGGGACCACCAACAATTATAGCCACTTTGGTGAAGAAACCCATCACAGCAACTGGCAAAAGGCTTGGATGAATCAAGGCAATGGCAGAAGGCCAGGCAAAATTCCAAAGCTGCTCCACTACATTTGCAGCTATGCAACTAGCATAAAAAGCTGAAAATATATAATCTTCAAGTTAAGAGCAGCTTAGATGATTCAACATCACAGTCATCAATAAACATAGATGGCAAAAGGCACAATAAAATCACTGGACAAGATAGGCATCATACAATCTTTTAGATAAGCTCATTTTGGCTCAACTTAGAGAAGATAACAGTTATAATAAACTGTATTTATTGGATTGTGGCCCCAAGCTTATAAGAGAACTTTCAAGGTTAAAAAAAGAGATCCATGAAGGCATATGAAACCAACGAAGAACCATGTCAATATCATCCCGTGCAATAGAAGGTTTTTCATTATCGACCTAAGGGTGAAGGGTTGGGTAGATACATGAGAACTTAGTTTCAGTCCTCATTGCCATCATTGTAATCTTTTCTACAATAATAGTAATAATAATAATAATAATAATAATAATAATAAATAAACTCCAATTGTTGGAAAGCCAACTTAGTTGTGATCACCCTTAGCCTGTCCTAATTGCATTTAATTTTCACAATTTCACATAAAATATACATTACCTAAAGCATTCTTAACCTAACCACATTCATGATAATGCTCTCATTTATTACCATAAAGGTCTTTTGGATTAAGATCATTAAATAAAGTTGACTTATTAAAATTTGCTTATATTTCAATCCAAAAAAAATTAACCATATTTTTTTGTTTATATATAGGTCCAAAAGGGAGTAATAGATAAGAGATTGAAGTAAATACATGAGTGAGTAATAATAGAACTAGGACAATATTGAGATAAATGAAGATGTGAGAAGTGAGAACACATCCCACCATGTAACCCAGCCGGGTGAGCTGGAGTAGCTGAAAGGGCATGTTGCTCTTCTTCGGACAAAACCTGCATAACACACCATAGGAAGATCAGAAACAGTGATCAATGCTTAACATCACCCTAAACTTGGTAAATAAAAAAACCTACAGGCAATGCTGTCAAGAGAGTATCTACAAATGTGGCTTCTGCGAGCAAGTTCAAGGACTCAGTCTCGAGAATATCAGTTTTGAGTTTAACAAACGGCACCGGACAATCCACAGAAGAGCCTCTTCCCTGAGCCTCATCCTCATCCGTCGAGACATGATCCAAATGCACATCAGTGTCCGTTAATGAACACTTGGGACCAACACACGCAAATCTGCAAGCAATAAAACATAAAGAGATGACAAAGGGAATTAAATTCAATGGAGTCAAAATTGGAAATTTGAATATCATTTCATTGAACCTGTGAGAGGCAGGAGGGTAATAGAGGTTGAACCCTGGGCCAGAAGGGATGCGATGGCGTATTGAAGAAGATGAAGGAGGGAATTTGCAAAAATGAAGAGAGAGGGTGGCCGTAGCAATAGCCATAGCTTGTAAAACTTCAAGCTACCAAACTTCCTCGGTTTTGTCCAACTCATGCAGTTTCAGTCCCAAAATCACTAGGCAGAAAAAACCCCTTTTGCCACAATGTTCATCCCCTTTACTGCGAAAGATATTTGCAAAACAATGAAAACCTTATCTTAAAGGATATAGTAGAATTAAGGGGTGTTTGGTTTGGGAATGTGCAACCTTAGCCTGTGCCTGGGCGGAGAGTGCAACTAGTGCTGTTTGTGTGGACATTTTTTTTCTCTACCGGTTTTGTGTCAAACTCGTAGCGTAAGAGAATTTTTGTGCTGCCACGTGGCTGTGTCGTTTTATCTACCTCTTCGATTTTAGTTTTACTAGCCGCAATGAAATGTGCCATGTAGCGTTGTAGGAGGCCACACAACGGAGGAGGCCCAGTCACTTTCTAGTGAGCCCATAAAAAAAATGGGAAATGTCTAGAACGTTTGAGCAAGTGTACCACTGAACTATAATTGGGCCAATTGTAAAAGGGAAGACTAGGCTCATGATATATACACCTCCTTTTTTTTTATAAGTATACTTCTTTTTTTTTTTAATTATAAAATATTATAATTTAAAAAAAAAAAAATTTACATTTTCAATTTTTAATTTGCTACTTTCTTCTTCTTATTCATACACCTTTTTTTTATTTTAATTTTTAAATGTTACCAAAATAGGTAGGGTGAAGAAAAAATAAGAGAATGCATGTAAAAATTGAAAAAAAGGAAGAAAAATATATTAAAAAAAAAAGTTCTAAATTAAATATTATAGATGTAAAATTAAAAAATTTAAAACAAAAGATTAAGAATATTTTAAAATTTTAATTATTTTTTTTAAAGGAGGTGTACTTATAAAATAAAAAAAGGAGGTATATATATCATGAACCGGAAGACTATGCTAACTCTAACTCTTTTTTTGGGTTCAAGTGATTTGGACCTTCCTCAAATCACCCCTTGATATTTGTTCTTGACTATGAGACTATGAGTGAGGTATTGAATTAAGGCTATAGGTTCTCTACGTTATAACCTCATTATTTTCCTCACAAGTTGATAGAATTAAAGAAATAAGTTATTTAGTAATTGTTATTTTTTTTATAGGGAGCATCTTAAATATTTGAAATTTGTTATAAAAATATTTTGAATATATAAATCACGAGAGGGTTCTATTTACTCCATTTATAATTTTTTTAGTAGAATTACTTAATTTAATAATCCATGATTCATATTAAGTTTTAATGATTAAATTGATAAATTAAAAAAATTTAATAAATAAATCAATTTTATAAATTTTTGTAAAGTTTTAAAATTGTATAATATTTTATTTTATACATACATATTAATGTATAGTATAACATTTGTATGATTTTTAAAGTGTCAAAACTTTATTTATAATTTTTGGGTTTTTTGTTATTTAAAACATTGAATTTGAGTTAAGTTAAAATGTGATTCCTTTATTTTTTTTTGAAACATCTTAAAGTTTTTTTATTTTTTATGTTTCTTTTATTATGAAAAACTTTTTAATTATTATGTTAAAAAAAACTTGAGAGGTAGAGGAAGTCTCATACTTGAAACAAGTTTGTATATTAGTGAAAATATATAATTATATTCATAGTTAAAATAGGATGCTAATTTTTGAATGACCAATATGGTCGATACCTATTTTTATCTTAATACTTATGCATCCCTAACAAATAACTGTCCCTTCCTCCCATATACAACTTCGACAATAAATTTCATCCGAATCTCAACAACTAAAACACATGGTTAGTAATTTCTCATTCTATTCAAAATATTATTTCAATGGAATGAATACTGTTTCGTTGGTGTAAAAAAATGGTTAGTTGAAAATAAAAAGTCATTTGAAGCAAATCAAAACTTTGCAATAAAGTAGAGAAGTGGCTATTTTGATTCCTAGATGGATTAATGTTTTTGTGGGCACTAATATAAAAAGGAAACTTGATTATTGTTTAATTATCTTTGAACAAATATATTATTGGGTTCATTACTTATTTTTCATTTTCAAGTACAACAAAAGTATAAATAAGTTTCTACAAAAATATAAAGAATGAATGATTTAATGCATAAAATAAACTAATTGTGTGTGTGTGCGCTTTCAACTTTTATATTTTTTAGAAATTTATTTATTTTAAAATATAAAATTATGCACTTAATATCTAATGGATACTCAATCTATAATGTAGTGTAATTTATCTCTCAAGTATTAAAAAGTTTAAAAATCAACGACCAGGTCGATCTAACATATCATTAGAATTTAAAAAAAAAAATTTAAGTGTGATTTTTTTAAAATTATTATAATATCTTTTAATAAAAAAATAACGTGAAATTAAAAAAATAATTATATTTATATTTTTTTTTTTGTTATAGATCTTTTAGATTGAACTTTTAAAAATATAAAAAAAATGATTTGAGTTATAAGTTTTGAAAAAAATTACATAATTATTCATGTAAAATATTTTATTTTGAAAAGATCCAAAGCAAAATCTTATTAGTCTCACTTAAATTTTAAATCCTAAACTTTATCAATGATCTTGATCGACAAATATTGACTTTGAATTTTTTTCTTCGTTCTAAAGTCATCACCTTCTTCATCTTAAGAGCACGTTTAAAAGAATAAACAATTTTTCTTTTATAACCCATTTCAACGTAAGAAATGTAACTCCTGTATAAACTCTAAATTCTAAATTTGTTTACCAAACAATCACGAGAAAGGTTATAAAATAAATTAAAGTGAATGATCATATACAATATGGTAAATAGATTGATGATCCTCTTGTTTTATAAAATTTGAAGCATCCCCATCCTAGAGGATCAACCATAGAACCTGCATTAGTCTTATAAAAAACAACTCTAGAAACAAGGACGGCAAACTCTCCCTAATAATGAGCTCCCTCTATCAAACACATAACCCATTTAAACAGAAAATCACTTGGATCATTATTTGAACTAAGTCCTCGTGTCGTTATGGAACCAAGGAAATTGCATTCATCATACAATCTTACAATAAACTAAAGTAAATGTTGGAAAGTATTTATTAGTTATTCAAATACATACAAATATTTTGATGAGTTTTACCATACATGTTATTTATTACATACATAGCTCGTAATAGGATTGCCCATTGCCAAATATAAAGTCTATGGCACCTTCAATGTAATAGTTTTTGAAGTAGTGATGACCAAACACGTCCCATAACGTATCTTGGAAACCGATGAAACTACAATCGTAAAAAGCATTTTTTGTCTCCATACATTCTTTGCTGCAAGTTATAAAAAGAAAAAATGTATGTGATTAATTATTGGACTATAAGATTTATTTTGGAATTTTTTGTATTACATATTTTTAATTTGTTTAAAAAAATCATTTGTTTTGAACAAAAATGACACAAAATTCACAAATGTCAAACGTGGTGATCATTGTATGTAATATCTGTTCTTTGGTGATCATTGCATGTAATGCCATTGTTTGGATACGAAGAGAACGTTGCGCTAATATCTTTTGCCTTAGCCTTCCAAAATGATGCATGACTTTTTATATGGAATTTTAATCTTCTCTCTGCACGTAACAAAAGCTTTACTCCTTTTTAGTATAATGTATATGTAACCAAAAAAAAAACAAAGGAAAGGAATGTAATTATTTAATGTATAGTGATTAGTGATCATTAAATTATTATATTTTGTTATTATAAAATTGATTTAATTAGTTTATAAAATATATTTTTAATTTTAAAAATATATTTAATTATATTTTAATTTATGTTGTTCAAAGATTTTATAATTTTGTTGTTTTATTATATCAATTATATTTTTTTAGAGACTTCTTTAAGATATGATATA